ATATATATATATTCTTATTTTGTTGCTCGCATTGGGACCCAATACATCCTACAATGCTCTCTGGGATTGGGGTAGAAAGATTGTAGTCTTTTAAACTCAAAGAATAAATGAGACAAACATAATCATGATTCATTCATTTATTTATTTTTATGAACAAATTCATTTGCTATTTAAGATATATTATTTAGAAAATTTTAATTAACTTGAATTTATTTAATTATACATTTAATAGTAACATGTCATAATTAAATATCAATATGCAAAGTAATGTAATGTAATTTTTTTCTTATTTATTTATATAAATTAGTTTCTAAGTATTTTATTATATTTTTGTAAGTACAATAAAACTTACTTGCAACTTATTTATTATCTTATTTAATTGAAAAGCTTGAATAATAATTCTTATTTATTATCTTATTTTAATAAAGTACTGTATATATATATATATATATATATATATATATATATTCTTATTTTATTACTCTACATTGGGACCCAATACTTATCCTACAATGCTCTCTGGGATTGGGGTAAAAAGAATAGAGTAGAGGCACTTCTATATCTCTCAAGGGCTTTTATGATTCGAGAAGTGAGGATGATTTCTTACGTTAAAGTATTCTCTAAAAAATAAGCCTAAATGTTGCTCTCTACAGAAATTTGAGAAGCTCTAATGAGGATGAAAGTACTGAGGAGAGGTGAAACACTTACGTATGTGGGGTTGTGGTCAACTTGGTTGAACTCTATCTTCTCATATAGTAGTCAAGTGTTTCTCATGCACCATATAAACACTAGCTCTCTCTCTCTCTCTCTCTCTCTCTCTCTCTCTCTCTCTCTCTCTCTCTCAACTCTCTAAGGAATATCTTCCAACTCTAGACTTCAGTCCCAAAAGACTATAGTTGCTCACTCCAAAATCCCCCTTTCCCCTCCAAAAAGACCCCTCTCCTTTTTTTTTGTTTCCCGGTTTTTGATTTCTTATTTTCTTTTTTGGGTGGAGAACTTGGAGAAAGGTGCTCTTGTATGAAAAAGGGAAGCCAAGTGCCAAGTGGAAGCCTAGGTGCATGAGAAATGTTCATAAGTTAAAAGTATATTGTGAAAGCTTTTCCAATGGCTTTTCCACTGACAGAGTAATTTTTTTTTTATTTTGGGTAGAATTCAAAGAAATTTTGTGTGGTGAAGACCTAAATTTGAACATTGGCTTCGACCAAACTACAAAAAAGTTTGTTATGAGTTTATTCGATTTGCTTTCTTTTATGTTCATGTCATAATTAAATATCAATATGCATAGTAATATAATGCAATTTTTTCTTATTTATTTATATAAATTAGTTTCTAACTATTTTATTATATTTTTGTAAGTACAATAAAACTTACTTACAACTTATTTATTATCTTATTTAATTGAAAAGCTTCAATACTCATTCTTATTTATTATCTTATTTTAATAAACTACTACTACTACTACTACCGCTTGAATAATAATTCTTATTTATTATCTTATTTTAATAAAGTACTGTATATATATATATATATATATATATATATATATATTCTTATTTTATTACTGGACAGTGGGATCCAATACTTATCCTACAATGTTCCCTGGGATTGGGGTAAAAAGAATGTATTAGGCACCTCTATATCTCTCAAGGGCTTTTATGATTCGAGAAGTGAGGATGATTTCTTACCTTAAAGTATTCTATAAAAAATAAGGCTAACTGTTGCTCTCTACAGAAATTTGAGAAGCTCTAATGAGGATGAAAGTACTGAGGAGAGGTGAAACACTTATGTATGTTTGGTTGAACTCTTTCTTCTCATACAGTATTCAAGTAAGCTCTAATGAGGATGAAAGTACTGAGGAGAGGTGAAACACTTACGTATGTTTGGTTGAACTCTATCTTCTCATACATTATTCAAGTGTTTTTATGAAACACTATCTCTCTCTCTCTCTCTCTCTCTCTCTCTCTCTCTCTCTCTCTCTCTCTCTCTCTCTCTCTCTCTCTCTCTCTCTCTCTCTCTCTCTCTCTCTCTCTCTCTCTCTCTCTCTCTCTCTCTCTCTCTCTCTCAACTCTCTAAGGAATATCTTCCAACTCAAGACTTTATCCCCAAAATACTATAGTTGCTCACTCCAAAATCCCCCTTTCCCCTCCAAAAAAGATCTCTCTTTTTTTATTTGGTTTTCCAGTTTTTAATTTCTTATTCTCTTTTTTGAGTGGAGAACTTGGAGAAAGGTGCTCTTGTATGAAGAAGGGAAGCCAAGTGCCAAGTGGAAGCCTAGGTGCATGAGAAATGTTCATAAGTTAAAAGTATACTGTGAAGGCTTTTCCACTAATGACAGAGTAAATTTTTTTTTTATTTTGGGTAGAATGCCAAGAAATTTTGTTTGGTGAAGACCTAAATTTGAACATTGGGTTCGACCAAACAACAAAAAAGTTTGTTATGAGTTCATTCGATTTGTTTTCTTCTATGTTCATGTGATTTGCTCTTTTTTATGTGCATACATTATATGCTTTATGATAAATTTCCTAAATTATAAGCAAATGTTACACACTTTTAAAAATTAGGTTGTATTATTTTAATTAACATTTAATATCTCAAAGTTAGTCTCATCAGTAGTCCCCTCCACCTCATTAGCCCCCATCCCGCCACCCAAAAAAGATCTCTCTCTTGTTTATTTGGTTTCTTGATTTTTAATTTATTATTCTCTTTTTTTGGTGGAGAACTCGGAGAAAGGTGCTTTTGTATGAAGAAGGGAAGCCAAGTGCCAAGTGGAAGCCTAGGTGCATGAGAAATGTTCATAAGTTAAAAGTATATTGTGAAAGCTTTTCCAATTATGACAGAGTGAATTTTTTTTTGTAGAATGCAGAGAAATTTTGTGTGGTAAAGACCTATATTTGAACATTGGCTTCGATGAAGTCGGTCACCATACGGCTGGGTGCAGTTTAATTTTGTGTAATATAGTATTTAAAATTTAGATATTTTAATTTGAAGAAAATGGGGTCAAACTGATCCCATTGATTCCTACAGTTTGGATAATCGAGTTAACTATGAGTAATGTACCACTCTGAAAGGTAATACACTACTTGATAATAAGCTCAATTAAATAAACTATATAAATAAATGACTTTCATTTGATCTGCAAGTTTGCATGATGACCGACAGATTCCTCTATTCGATATGGGAGTCAAAAAGGGTTTATTTTAAGTTTAGGTTCTTTTAAGTTCCATATAAGGGCAAGCCCCTATATTAAATTATATCTTAAGCAAACGAATCACTTAAGAAAACTCTCGATAAAAATTAGGAATTTTTTATTTTCATGACTTCAAAAGAAAGGGTTTCCAACGAACATGATTGTGAAATTTTCAATAGGGACTGATTCAAATATGAAAGATTTTATTTTAAGAATCAAAGGAAGAAAAGTATAGGAGATTAAAGATCCAGGGTTGGTTCTTGGTAATCCCCCAAACTATCCTAATGTTTGTTCAATTTAAGATGTTATTAATTTAAATTAACTCTTGCCAGTTTTATTAATTAGGGCTTAGATTTGTGTAATGATGATTTACACAAAAAGCCTAGAAAGATATGAGGTTTTACGTCAAGTGACTACCTCAGAATCCTAAAACAAGTTATGACATGCTGCAAGTCGGGACTATGCAAAAACCTAACAAAAAGAGAGGTTTTATGTCATAAAAGACAACCTTAGAATTCTAATAATTGCTATTTAAACTAAAGAAAGATCTCGAATGAGCTACCCACGAAGTCTATGATACACAAAAAGTATATGCATTTTTAGACACATATCTTATACCCATTTTTTGTAATATTGCACTTTCATGGAAGGTATTTTCTATGTTTTATTGCGGGTTATTGATTTTGAGGACTTGGAGTAAAAGGGAAGCAAAAATGATGAAATTTGGAGCAAAAATGGAGAATTTCAAAATTTTTCCAGCGCCTACCACTCTGTTTGACAGAAACTTTGGATTTAATTATGGACCTCTGGCGACGACGGCACCAGTGTCGGTGAAAGCCCTATTTCTAGAAGATTTGACAAATTTGGATAATTTTTGAAGAGCTTTTAGATGCACCTATTGGAGAACCAACCTAGGCTCTA